GTCTCTCTCTCTCTCTCTCTCCTCTTTGTCTCTCTCTCTCTCTCTCTCTCTCTCTCTCTCTCTCTCACACACACACACACACACACATATACATACAAATACACACACAAACACATATTTGGATCCATTTTAAATGTGATATTAGAACTAATTCACATTTACTATATAAAAAAGTATATATGGGAGGACGTTGTATTCACAAGGAGGCTGAAGACCCAACCTTTCATTCGCTCATTTTACATTGATTAAACATATCTGGGCATAGCAAAGATGGTTACCATATCTTTGTCAGGCACAAGGCAGGCCTTTCCACATGGGCCTTGACAGCACTTCCTACCATTTGTACACTGTTCTTCTATTGCACACTGATCCTGAACAAGACCTTGACAGGTCGTATTAACAGTTGGACAGGTCTCGGGGTTTCCTATAAAAATTGAAGTAAAGAATCATATATGTTAGGGTGCTTATTATAATTATAAGTATCCAACAAAGTTACCACTGATTAAAATCTCAATTATTTATTGGGTTCTTCTTAATTTTATACTTTATGTTTTTCTCTCTCTTTCTTCACTATAATAAACAGAAAAGTTAAATAATTGATTTTTGTACCTTGTATATTACTTTGTTTCTTTTGTTGCAAGTTAGTAGATCGTAGACCCGTGATGGAGAACTTATGTCATGTGTGCCCAAAGTGGCACATGGAGCTATGCTGCCTGCCACAGGCAGCGTCGTCTGTTCCTCTTTTGGGTTTCTGGCATGTATGTGCCCATGGCAATCAGCTGGACTTCGTGCCTGCGGCAGTGCCAGAAATTGGAACAGAAACTGGAACAGCTGGTCTTCCATTTTCCGGCGTGAGCACGTGCGCCGGCCAGCTGATCGTCCTGCTTGCATGTGTATCAGTGACCAGAAGACTAGTTGGCTGGTTCACATGCGGGCGCTGAAAATTTGAAGTTCATTTGCTGTTGTGCACATGCCCCTGGGGCTGATCCTCTTCTAAGTTGCAGCCCCGATGAGCACACATGCTCTCTTTTCGACACTTGGTACGAAAAGGTTCGCCATCACTGTCTTAGACGATCGAAATAAATGCATTTATTTAAACAATTCTATAGTGTTGTAGCCAAGCACAGCTCCCAAAGAGAGCATTCTGTAGTCTGATGGTTCATATGAAAAAAGCTGGACACAAGAAAGGAGGTTGATTAAGGAGGACAAGGGTATTTTCTTACATCATCAGAAAGATGACCTTTGAAAAGGGACTAAACAAGATCAAGAAATAGCTGATCCGATCCAGGCCATCTCCAGGAACTGAACACCCTACCTTTCTCAGGGGTCAAGCATTGTTTCACACAGGCACCTTGGCAACACTTTTTGTCCCCAGGACACTTTTCATCGTTTCTGCATTGGTTCTTTTCACGCGACAGCAAACAGGAAGCATGAACTATTGGGCAAGTCCCAGGTTTCTCTGCAGGAACATAAAGAAAAGAATTTCAATGACAATTATTGGGGCTCTGGGGCAAAAAATAAATAAATTAAATATTGTGTAGGGCAACAATTACCCCCAAGTTCCTTCTAGAATTGGTTTGAAAGATACAAATGGGATTCCTTGGGGATTACTGTTGTTTTCATAGGATATATTAAATATAAATATTGATCCCGTGCTCATTTGTAATAAGCTCAGCCTATTACAAATAGACATAGCGCACTTTAAAACGCTGTGAGCTCAAATTTTAGCTTCCAAAGCAGGATGCTGGTTTTAAGGACTATGTTCTAGTCTATAAAGGGTACACGGTGGCTCAGAGGCTAAGATACTGAGCTTGTCAATCAGAAAGATCAGCAGTTTGGCAATTTGAATCCCTAGCACTGCGTAATGGAGTGAGCTCCTGTTACTTGTCCCAGCTTCTGCCAATCTAGCAGTTCGAAAGAACGCAAAAATGCAAGTAGAAAAAATAGGAACCGCTTTTGTGGTAAAGTTATAGTGTTCCATGTGCCTTTGGCATTTAGTCATGCCAGCCACATGACCATGGAGACGTCTTCGGACAGCGTTGGCTCTTTGGTTTTGAAACAGAGATGAGCACCGCCCCTTAGAGTCAGAACGACTAGCACATATATGCAAGGGGCACCTTTACCTTTACTTCTGGTCTATGAACTAGAGAAAAACCTGCATAAATTTCAGGGCCATTATTGCAAGTCACTATTGTCTCTGAGTTACAAGGCTGTTGCTATCCTTATTATTTTAAGAAAAGGAAATCAATTGGCGAATTCCCCTGGTTTCATATTAGCATTCCCAGCTAATATCATCTGCCGGAGGGAAAAATAACTGCTAGCCATTCCCTTTTATGTGTAAAAGGATGGGAATGGCCAAATGTGGGCAGGTGCTTTAAAGTGTTTCTCTGTGTATTAATTCTCAGGAAATTCATAAACCTAAAACTAGCACTCTTTTGAAAGAATACTAAACCAGCCTACAAAATGGCCAGGCTGACAGATCATAGGGATGAAGAAGAAGCAGTGGATTAAATGGGAGAGCAATTGATAGCAACAGTGGTGGGGTACGACTGGTATGCCCCGGTACGGGGGTACTGGTGCCTGCTGGGAGCACCAGAGACCATTCCAGTATGGTGCTCGAGAGAACCCGCCCGCCTGTCCTCCACTTTCCTTACCGCTATTTGAACCAATCAGAACTACAAATACATTGAGCTGGGTGGTTTGAAAGCCTCTTATTTATTTATTTTCTTACATCATATATAAACCTCAGGATAACAGACATGCCGAACATCACTGATAAAGGTATATGAACTTTTCATATATCAAAGGATTTCTTTAAAAGAAAAGTGGAATATTGTCTGGTAATAAAAATGAAGCCACTATTTGTCCCAGTAAATATAGGTAGTTCATCACTCAAAGCCCAGAATTACAGTCACAAATCATTGCGGTTGTAAGTAGACGCCATGGTTGTTAACTGAATACCATAGGGAAATATATGCCAGGCTCATTAAGTGAATTAATTTTTGACAATGGACTTTTCTTTTGTCAGAAACCAGAGGCAAATACTGGAAACTGCAATAAATATCCCAAATCATGGTACCTTGACTATGAGTTGCTGCAAATGGCTGTAAAGGCAAGCTGGTTGCCACACACCCAAAAGTGCAATCCTGTGACCATGGGGCAGTGATAGTGCAGTTGTTGTAACTTTGAAAATGGGTCATAAGTAACTTTCAATATGCATAGGGAAATTGGGTGCAGAGTTGCTGGAGGGCTGGGGACTTTTAGGAGGAATTAAGAGGATAATCAACCTGGAATCCTTAGTATTCAGGAAGAAGCGCAGAGCAGACCATCCTTAAATGTTTATAGAATACACCTGATAGTTATGAGCTTGTGCTTTAATCTGGCAAGATTCTTTCTATGGTTCAGCAGCAATAATGAAACTAATCTGAGTAAATCACAGTGTCATTCTTGGGTAATTGCACCTGACGGGGAGTCTATCATAACTTTGGTTGTTAAGTGACCAGTTATAAGTCAAGGAGTATCTGTGAGAAATGTTGTATTAATGTTATATTTTTATGGGAAGTATCTCCTTTTGTTCTTCATTGGAAAGTAGTCAACCCCCTCCCCCCCAAAAAAAATCTCATTTGAACACCAAAAGAACAAGAATTCTGATCATAGCAATAGCAATAGCAGTAGACTTATATACCGCTTCATAGGCCTTTCAGGCCTCTCTAAGCGGTTTACAGAGAGTCAGCATATTGCCCCCAACAATCTGGGCCCTCATTTTACCCACCTCGGAAGGATGGAAGGCTGAGTCAACCCTGAGCCGGTGAGATTTGAACCGCTGACCTGCTGATCTAGCAGTAGCCTGCAGTGCTGCATTTAACCACTGCGCCACCTTGGCTCTTGATCAATGCCACTTTGGGTCAAATATATTATAATTGTGGCAAAACCAGGATTTATTTAAACAAAGATGGCATCATTGCCACAAATTCATCTGGGAGACATAATTAGTATCTTTAAAATCTGACTGCTGGAATCTCCAAATGGTACATATTGTCTTCTTATTTTGAAATAGTGAAGTTCTCTCTCTTGCATTTCCTGATTACAGAGCATTAGGAAAATACAAATAGGGTGCTATTATATTCCATCTTCAGAGGACAAACTGATCAACAGTTAAAATTTAAAAGTGTTTATTTTGTAATAGCATTATATTAACATGAAACTTTCTTCTCCCATTTTGAAAAAAAAAGTTATGAATGCAATCTACCAGACTGAACTGTTGAACTGAACTGCTGCTGTATTACTCAATTGGATTAATTGTAGATTTGAGAATGAGGAAAAACTCATGCACAGCCCTGAATAGGATTTGGCTGTTTTGTGGGCATTGTGACTCAAGATCCTTATATTGTTCCAAATGTCTTGGTAATTAAAGGCCATTCCAAATTGGACATGGGTAATAAAATCAGCTGCAGATATTTCCTTTCAACACTTATTGTAATAGGGAGACTTGCACAGTTATGCCATGGAAAATAGATGGCTTTATAAATGGAAGTAATGAAGGAATGAACAAACAAATGAAAGAATTCATAAATAACATATATGAATACAGACACTATGATTTCATAGTGCTTTAGACATTTCATTTGTTTTATTCATTAATTCTAAAGAATGTCCTGGTCTTTCCTCCAAGGAGAAAAGTATCTGTGATCTTCATGATGTAGTCAGATCTTGGTTCCAAATCTTTATAACTAAGCCAGACATAAAGATAAATGAAGTGTTTCTGAAATGGAAACTTTGGGCTACAAAAGAGAGATAGTTGCAGTTGCGCTGCTTCTGTTGCAGTGACTAAGTTTTAACTCTTTGGATCTAAAGAACAGTGGTGGGATTCAACATTTTTTTATTACTGGTTCTGTGGGCGTGGCTTGGTGGGCATGATGTGGCTTGGTGGGTGTGGCTTGGTAGGCATGGCAGGGGAAGGATACTGTAAAATCTCCATTCCCTCCCCACTCCAGGTGAAGGTTACTGCAAATCCCAAATTGCCTCCTGATCAGCTGGGACTTTGGAGGCAGAGAATAGATGGAGGCAGGGCCAGTCAGAGATGATATTTACTGGTTCTCCAAAATACTCAAAATTTCTGTTACCATTTCTACAGAACTGGTCAAACCTGCTTAATACCACCTGTGATAAAGGGTATTACTCCATAATTTCACATTTTAATGCTGAATGTTTTCAACTGATTCATATTTATATATCAAATTTGCCTGAGTAGTTTTGTAGCCTTCATTGCATTTGAGACCTTTTTATTAGATCAGTTTCTTACAGTAATCAAAACAGTTATCTGTTGCTGGATGAATTCTCTGAAAAATATCTTCAGGCATCATACAATGATTTCTTTTCAAAATGTAGGTAAAGGTTCCCCTCGCACATATGTGCTAGTTGTTCCCGACTCTAGGGAGAGGTGCTCATCTCCGTTTCTAAGCTGAAGACCCAGTGCTGACTAATGACAATTCTGTAGGGATTTGAACCCCTGAACCCCCGACCTTTCTGATCGATAAGCTGAGCGTCTTAGCCACTGAGCCACTGTGTCCCCCTTTTCAAAATATGCTTGGGTGAATTGAAGCGACAATTCTTGTCATATCATTTCCCCCCCTCTTTCAGGGTGTTCTTTGTTACATTAATTCACTTGAAGATTATTCTAGGGGGAAAAAGGGAGGAAAAACTTCTGATTAATAGAAAAAAAATGAGATTGTAGGTTCAATTTTCCCCCTAAAGGGTCTCATGTTTTTACACAATGCACAAAAGTCCAATAAAAACCTATGACCACAAAGATATTAGAAACAGAACCTAAGCATGCATAGAAATTCCCATTTGCTAGTGCAGGTGCAGGTATTGCCTACATACTAAACAATGTATGATGATTCAGCCTTCTTCTCCTCTCATCTGAACTTATATTTGCCCATTTGTTGCAATTTTTACTAGTGGTAAATGATACAGTACCTTGGTTTTCCCAAGTCTCTTGTCACCCTTGTATTTATGGGATCAGGACTTTCATCCGCTTTAGCTAACATGATCAAGGATTTCTGAGATGCTGCTATTCTCCAGTTCTCATCTTATTCCCTTTCTCCTTTCCTGTCTTATTTAATTTTTTATTTAATAAGAGTTGCTTTAATAGTTATTATGCCCTCTATACTAATAATTCCCAATACAATATTTTATTATTTTAGTAGTCCAGGTCATAATTGTCTACTTCCCTGGTACATTTGCTTACTGTAAAAAAAGTTAGTATTTCTGTTTAATGTATGAAACATCTTGTTTGCTATAAGCTGAACACTGAGTTCTCTCTGTGTTTGTTTTTGTGCTTTCAAGTCAGTGTTGACTCCTGATGATTGCCTGGAGATTTTCCTGCAATTTTCTTGGCAAGATTTTGAAGTGGTTTGCTACTGCTGGCTTACTAGAATTGGCACAGAGTGACTGTCC